CAATATATGGACACCAAATGGCTTGCTAAATCAAATCTACACCTTGAAACGATTAACCACAAAAATACGGGTATTATAGTCCCCAAATAGCTAAATCWKCCTTATRTATCTAACTRGCACTCATATMTTCAYGGTGTAGCTAAATACATGACCTTTTCACGATAGTGGAGCCATTAAGTAGATTCTTGAATGAAATGCATGTATAGCTGATATGAGACTCTATTGCTAGTACAAGTTCAGAATATTTAAAAACTTGGATCTTATGCTGACCTTGACGTGGGGGACCAGACCCTATTGTTCATAGAGGCTCATGATGTAACAAACGGTGTTACGTTTAAATGCGCATAACTTTTCCTATGGGGCTCCCTTTCAGACCCATACCCAATCGATTCAAAGCTTAAAAYGAGGAKMAYATCYTGGATATGACCCGAAGGGGATTATGAGATCTTCGAGACTGAAAAATGCTTTTTGAACATGTTTCTAGACACTTTCATGCTATGTTTTTTTTTTATCATTTTTCATTTGGACTTTTATGTTTGTCCCATCGTATTTTCAGGCCCATTTGAGTTTGAAACTCTTATCTATGTGTTTCTTGTGTAAGTTGGATTATTATACCTTGAATACATAAACTTCCAATTTTCATCCCAAATCTGAGTTCCTTTGAGTTCGATTTGGAAGAGATTGTTCTCAGGTATTCATAGAACCAACTGGATCATCCTTCCTTCATTTATCGTACTGTACATTGCATCAAGTCCCCTCAAGGTAATTGGAGGGTTAATTTGACTGTCTATTAACTTTTGACTAGCCGAAGTGCACACAAACCAATCCAGATAGCCACAGTTTCCAAGAAAACACCAATTATATAACAAATTGCAAGATGATCCGAGACGAAAAAAGCTTTTGGTTTTACCTCCAAAGATTGTTAGAGATAACATCTTTTTTAACTCGAATTACATGTCTTATTCTTCATTAGAATCCAATTCTCTAATCTGACTTCAATTGTAGCCGAAATGCATCTTCTTCGCCATCTAATCATTCATTTACATGTGGCAAATACGATTATAATGCTTACCTTGTGATAACAATAGATTGTGACCATGTTGATCAATGCATCCTTATACGCTTCATTTCAGCTTTTTGAGTATGATTGTTTGTTAAAACAACCCGTTCTTCTGTATGCAGAGAAAATAGTAAAGAATGTATGATACTAATAAAATAGTACTTTTAAACTTAGTTAGTCTGATATGTTGATCATGTTCCCATACCAGGACAAGAGCTGGTAAAGTTGGTGATCCAAATTTGTTGGTTAATTTGCACTCAAAAATTGACTTGCCAAAAATAATACTTGTTGAACTATTTGTGATTTTATCTCGTACTGGTCTTCAATTTGGTCGATGACATTCCAATATGCTTTGGTGACTATATGAGTTTTACTTCAACTAGTCTTCGATTTTGTTGAAGACATCATAATCTACTTTTCAGGTTCCAACAAGATTATGAATCATTCAGATCCCAAAAGGACTTTTAGGATCAGAATTATGATTCAGATCCAGTTAGGATCCAAATCCTCATTGCTTTCAGATTTTGAACTTCTTTCAGATTCCACCAARGATAAATCCGACAAACATATACGGACTTATATCTTTTCCAGATTTTGGATCATTTTGTATCCGATAAAAACTGATTGGATTTKAAGGCATAACTTCAAAAATATTTTTAAATATCGAATCAGATGTAATCATTTTATTTCAATTTATATGGTTCAAATGTTTTTCTATATATAGTTCTCTTGTACAAATCTAATCATATTTGTTATTTTGTTTACAGTTGGATAAACATACTCACTATTTGCCATTTGTTTTTTCTATTAAGTATGCAAATGGAAATAATTGAAAATATAGTATATATGGGATGATATTATTTTGTAGAGACTTAATTATTTAAAAATCTTATATATTGTGAAAACTGGGAGAACTGTTATTGTAAGGTATTGTTTTACATGTTTTTTCCATCTAATGCAAGAATTTAATATATTGATTAACATATATTTGTTTATGTGGTTGGTGATTAATTAGACATAAGGAGAGCGTGAAAATGTTACCTTGTGGAGATCTCCTTTTTGTTGTTTCGTGATATTGTAATTCTTTGTTAGTCTCTGGCTAGTCCTTTAATGCATTGCCGTTTCCAAAACAGAACATATATCTGTTTCACGATGTATTTGTTTCATATGTATTCGGTTCATAATGTGAAATCTTTTATAAGTTGTATTTTTTACTTCGCAAACATATAAAAAATATTTCACTTTGTAAAACATATATATATATATATATGAAATAAATACATTGTGAAACAAATATATGTTAACCAAAACAATTAATTCAAGCCGTAGATGAAAAAAAATCATATAAAATTTCACATGATGTACTGATTTTCAAAATTATTAGCACTTTATAGGTTCTCARATGAAGGTACCCTAGTTAATATATGTTTTATAGGATAATATATATAACAATTATATTTGATTTTGGTCTGAAAACTCAATAAAAATGCAACAATTTACAAAAAAAAAATTACACTTGAAAGATTAAGTGAAACGTTCAAATAAATCCAACGAACAATTGTATTTATGTGATTAAGTCTCTAAATTTTTTCTAAACAAATAAATCCTTCAACTTTTGGAAACCGAACAAATACATCTTTGAACTTACTAAAAACGAGAAAAATCTAACTAACTTTCATGTTTTAAATGATTAAGTCATTGAACATTTTTTGAATAAATAAATCCTTACGTTTATAAAACGAATGATACACACCATTTTTAATTATTAACCATTATTTATTCTTTAGATTTAATTGACAATCACATACGTTTATTATGATCATGTGATTATTATTTKAATTTGAAAAATAAAWCATTATTAATTTCTCTTATGTTTCTCATTTGAATGTGAAAAATAATAATATTTAATCATTTTTTATTGATTCATTATACTTTTTTACTGATCTAAATACATCAATTAAGAAATAATATATTACTTAATACCTCATTTGCCCTTATCATTGAATCGATGTAGCAATTGAGAAAATTTGTTTCAACTGATTTTAAAAGATTGTTAACCACAAGGGTGGTACCTGTTTGGTTTGATCTTGACTACGAAGATCAAAAGTATCAGGAGGTTCCATGTTCAAATCCAAGAAGATATAAAAATCCCCTTGTGATCACGGATGTTCAAATGCAGTGACTCCGGTACGGGCTATATGCAAAGCATGTGGTCGTTCTGGGATTAGTCGGCTCGCATACCGGGTTGAATATCCAAGTTAATAATTTTTTTTATTATTATTAATATCTTATATTTATTAAATATCTTGTGGCCCATCTCAAAAAATTATATCTTGTATTGTTGAAAAAAGTCTCATAAAAACTTTCATTCATAAGGGAAGTAAAACCGTATATATTTGTATTWTATGTAAATAGTAGTTTGTGACTAAAAGTTCAATAGAATTTRGAAGGGTTATCGCTACTAGACAAATGAGCTTTACCGACGAAGAATTCTACTGTAACATTTTATCGGATTTGTGACAGATCTAAAAAATCAACTTTTCATTGACATTTGTCACAAATCAAACACTTAATTTGAAAATAATTAAATATTTAAAAATATCCGTCACCAATTAATTGTTGACTGATTAGGGGGTGAAAATCCGTTGGTGAATTTGGTTTTTCCCTGACATTTGTAATAAAAATAGAAACAACCTGCGGTGAATATATTAAATCRCCRACGAATTACACGCAGATTATCTACCGGAAATTTAATCAATTTGTTAATTAAATAAATTATCGACGATTGTCCGCCGGTGATTTAATAAATTTAATTTCTTAGCCAACTGGTTTTCGAATAATCATGAAAATTATTACCAGCCATCATTATCCGCCAATCTATWGGTGATCCTTTTTTGGGTGAGGATTTCTCCGGCCGTGAAATCACCACCAAAAATCCGCCGATGATCATTTTTTTGGGCAGTCCTGTTAGGCGATGAAAGTCCAAAATGTAGCATATGAAATATATWTGTGAATCCATGATACTGCTAGATGAGATTAGATAAATTTATGAAAGCGTAAAATATAGAGTTTAAAAGATTTGGAAAAGTCATTTCTTATAAAAGAAAAACCCCATTTCAGGACACACCCAAGTCAACATGATGTGGATCACACTTGGCATAAAATGCGATAGAATTTATTGTAAAGACGAATATGTGTCTTACGTCAAAATGTACCTTTTAAAACCCTGATTACCTTGTACAATTCATTGGTGAAACATATAGTCCTAAAATAAGAAGTAATAAATTTGCATCATGTTTGATGGGCGTTTGAGATAAGAACTTACATAAATGCTTGTCGTTCATTTGTATGAAGTGTACACATACGTGTTAATGAGTTAGGGTGYAACTTTACCTAATCCCTCCTCAAGTTTAGTCACCATCAACATTTTTGGCTTTCATTTTCCCATTAGTAGACCATATAATGTGGCTAGAAATGGCCTCCGCTAGGTCGAAAACATATACACACACATATAGTTTGTAAGTGGCGTTAGACGTGACGTGATGACAAAGGTCAAACTTTTTTAACAGAAAAGTTCAAAAACTACAAAACATATGGTCATTTCCTCACTTTCTGTACCAGGTTTTGATCGAGCTTCGACTATGTTTTGTAATATCCAATACTTGATAAATACTCGAGGAAAAATATAGAACTTTTATGAGTTTTTCTGAACCGGTCATAGTCCAAAGGTTCGAATTCTCGAACTCATTTATGCATCTCTCTTGTCCACACTTGAGAGAATCAATAATTGTCCGTTGAATATGTGGAAAATGATGGGAAGAATAAACGAAAACATCGATTTACTGAATGGGGTTTTGTATAATGGTATCAATTTATTTTTCTATTGTCTCGGTTTAGATAAAAATAGTAATGGATCGTTTACTAAACGCTTATTTGGTAAGTCTTTACCGGATAAATTTCCTCATCGGATGAACATGACAAAAGTCAAAAATCTTACCGGGTAAGAGAGATGAAAAGGATAGAGAGTCTTACCCAGATAATTAAGCGTTTACCCAGTAAATTATTGCATTGGGTACGTTTTAATGTACTAAAATCTTACGCATCAAAATAAATTATAGTATTAGTAAACATTTGAGTAAACAATCCCTTTAAATGGTTTTAAAAATATGATTCACTACTTGTTTTAACGTTTAGTGAGGATGTGCACCTACCAGCATAACCATACGTCTTCCCATGGTCCCTCTCACACCAACTATAAATACAACCATCACATAACATACTCTAACATGAATCCAAGAAACAACAACTAAGATCACACCTCACAGATTTGAAACTATAAGTTTGATCATCATATAAATATGAAGAAGGCCATCGCTTTGCATGTTGTAGGGTTTCTTGTGGTTCTGGGGTTTATCGGGTCTCAAGCAGCTTTGGTTCCAAAAACCTATAACTATGAGGTATATTGCTTTCATTCTCTTCTCTCTTGAAGACAACCTTTTTTCAAGTTTTTATTTTCAAAAACCTCAATTTATTGCTTATTTTCTGCAACCAACCCTTTTTTAGTATTTCATGTATTAATTATTATATGGTTTATTAAAACAAGTTTAAGTTTTAATATTTTATGTTAGTTGTCAAGTATGTATTTAGAAGTTAATTACTCATTAATTTATTGGATTTTAGTTATAAGTGATTGATATATATATATATATATATATATATATTTTGATCGGGTACGCTAAATATGTGATTAACATATAACATCATTTAAAGGGGCCCTTAATTTGCTTTTCGTCATATTTGATTAATTTTATGCAAAAAAGTCATGATTTTAACGGAAAAATGCAGGCTTTTACAGTTAAAAATACGGAAAATATATACGGAAAATATATATGTCAATTTTAGGTTTTTGTATTCATATTGGATGTCAATTATTTAGAAACGTGTTATTTTGACATCAACGTAATTAGTTGAAAACATGGAATTGAGGTTTGTGGTGTAAGAAATACAAAAATATTCTCCGATTGACGAAAAGAAAGTGGGGTTGAAGTTGATGCATGAACCTATGTATGCTAATTTTAACAAAATATGCAACGTTTTATATTTGTACAATTAATACAATTCAATTTCAATCGTCCATTTTGTATTTCATAAACATTTCAAAAAGTTTAACATTGTAAACCGAATACATGTGAAACAAATATATGTTAATCCATATTCCAAATTCTAGTCTTAAATGGAAAAAAAAACATATAATAACACATGATGCATAGTTCTTAAGGTTATTACAATTTCATAGTTTATAATAAAAGATTTCCTTATATATGTATGTGTGCATGCATGTATGTATATATGTATGTATGGAAGTCCATTAGAAACTAAAATTGGTTAATTAAGAACCTAGGATCCATCCACAGCATGCCACGTGTCCTTTTTCATATGATTAATATTCATCATTATTTTAACACATTAATTCGTGATGAATATGGAAGTATAATTATTTATCTTGAATCACACAATAACACATTCATATTCCTAATAAATATGTAGCATGTCGCACTGTGGACGGTTCTGAAATTCCTAATCAATTTTAGGAACACGATCATATATATATATATATATATATATATATATATATATATATTGACAAGACTAGCTTGATTTTAATTGAAATCTTGGTTGATACCAATTCATGAGAGTGTTGTTCAACGGATTTGTATTATGAGGAACTTAATGCAAATCAACATCATGGTATAATTTGATGATGAAAGATACGAAGAACAAGTCCAAATGAGTACTGTTGTGTTTGGTCTTTTTCAATGGAAAATATAATATATTCATTGCGATTAGCTATCCAAACGCCTTTGACAACATATAGAGTATATATAGTTAGATTACTAGTGAATCTGGTTTGGTAAAATTTGACAAAATATATTACAATGACAAGCTAAACACGAATGCTAGCTAGGTTGAACTTGAAGTGAACATGGTGTAGATTGACATAATTGCCCTTGGTGCATGCAAGTTAATGTTTTCAGTGGACAAAGAAATCATATATGTATTCAAGATTGAGTTTGTAAATGTTAATTTTGAATGTTTGATTAGATCTAAGATTCTGAAACAAGAATTACACAGGCAAGGGTAAATCTGACTTATTATAATTTTTTTGGGTTGTTGTAGGTTAAAGAAGCCAACTTCACAAGGCTATGCAAGAGCAAGAGGATCTTGACGGTTAATAGTGAATTTCCTGGTCCGACTATTTATGCTCATAGGGGTGAAACCCTCATTGTTAACGTATTCAATCGAGGCAATCTAGGCATCACTATTCACTGGTAATATTATATTTCACTTTTATTGCTCTTTCTTTAATTTGTATGTGCGTTTGTGAGAGAGAGAGAAAGAGAGAGATGGATGAGGGGCGGCAAGGGAAATAAATAATTTTCGAGTTAAATTTTTGATATTTGTTGGGATGTTTTATTGATAACTCCGAAATAATAATACTCAAATATAAAATTTTCGAGTTATTATTATTGATTATTAGGGTTTTCAAAATTTTATGTGTTTTCAATAAGAAATGGGAGTCTTGATAACACGCCTTTAATAATGACTTGTTCTAGTCGCAAGCTATAAGATTATTTAAAAAAAATGATTATTTATAAGAAAGAAATGACTTTTCCTTTTTTCTACCAATAAGATTGCTTGAAAATAAATGTTTTTTTTTCTGAAGTATATAATATTTATAAAATCAATCTTTTTTTTAATCTAATTTTAGTCTTCAAGTTGTTATCCGGGTACTTAAATGTTTAAAACTTTACATCTTAGGTACCAAAATGAAAGTTTTGAAAGTACGTTACCCAAAATAAGAATCAAGTTAAAATACGTTATTTTTTCATACAATTTGTCAATAACCAATTTAATTTTATTGCAGCTTTCCCATCCCATCGGCATCATCATGGGTTGTTTTCTACGAACCATAGAACATGAAAAGTCTAGCACGTCTCCATAAATATTCATCAAATTAATTTTAAGTAACTTATTTTCGAGCATTTCAAAGGCTTTCAAATAAAAAATACGTCATTATTAATTAATAAACATAAATATGGAAAACATTAATTCTGGAAAAAATATCAAAATAATTAATCTTCCAAACCAACTTCATTTTTTAATTATTTTTTAATCGAATTATTATTTTAGCAATAGTTTATGCAAATGATGTATACATTTGTGTAAACTCGAATTTAAGATTAACAATGAAAAAAAATCTTTACAAAAATTTACATAAGGATCCATATTTTCATAAAGAATTTGCTTAATGATCCCACATTTACATAATAATTTTGTGTAAGAATTCTCATTTACGTAAAAAAATTTCTTTTTATTTTACATCTGAAAATAGACTTTTGGGTACGGTATTTGCTTAAGTTTGGTGGGAATTACGTTTCATCACATGGGTGGTGTATGATTGGTATGAGCTTGGACACCAAAGGTCAAAAGTGGTTGTAGATCTCATGTTCAAATTCAAGAAGAAATAAAAATCATTTTGTAGCCACGGAGATTCAAATGCGGTGATTCCGGGCTACCCGTAAAATAGGTGGTCACTTTAGGATTAATCGGCTCACACAACGGGTTAGATATCCAGGTTAATAAAAGAAAATGAAATTTAATTGAGGAGATTACAATTTCCCTTTGTTCCACCAATGTTTCTAGTTGATTATTGTTTAATTTAATCACATTCTTGACATTTGAATTATATTTAAATAGCAATCAATAAATAAATACGATAAATATATCATTTTAGCAATTTAATKTAAGGAGTTCTTTGAAAATGACGAGAYACTAATATAAGTTGTGACTGTAGGCATGGAGTGAAGCAACCAAGATATCCATGGTCTGATGGGCCTGAATTCATCACACAATGTCCGATCAAACCAGGAGGCAACTTTAGCCAAAAAATCATTCTTTCTGACGAAGAAGGCACACTATGGTGGCACGCTCATAGCGATTGGACTCGAGCCACTGTTCATGGTCTAATCGTTATATTCCCCAAGATCGGAAGGCCATACCCTTTCCCTAAACCAGCCGCCGAGTTTCCCATCATCTTAGGTTAATTTTTCGCTATTATCTTCGATATCAATATCAGTCTTTTCATCCGACGTCTTTTAATTAGAGGCGTCGTATCTATTACCGTTAAATGAAATATAACAACAAAAGAAATCGATACAAAATGAATGTGATGTTTATTCTAATCAGGGTCCACATGCAGGTGAATGGTTTAGGCAAGATGTTGAGGCTGTGTTGCTAGATTTCATGAGCACCGGAGGGGATCCTAATTCATCTGATGCTCTAACCATCAATGGCCAACCTGGTGATCTTTACCCTTGCTCTACTGCAGGTTTTCATTCTCATTATGTTCGAAAAAGAATCTCTATTTGATATCATCATTGAAAAATGTTGATTCGTACATTTTTAATACGTGTTTTCAGAAACAACCAAGTTCATTGTGGAACATGGAAAAACTTATATGCTCAGAATGGTTAATGCCGCGATGAACCTCTTCATGTTCTGGGCAATTGGAGACCACGAAGTAACCGTTGTAGGAACCGATGGTGCATACACCAAGCCACTAAAAAGCGACTATGTGACCATCTCCCCTGGCCAAACCATCGACCTATTGTTTAAAGCCAACCAACCCATAGGTCGCTATTATATTGCAGCTAAGCCATATAATAGCCAGCCATTGATTAGTTTCGATAACACTACCACCACATCCATTATCGAGTACAAAGGCTACAAAAAATCATCTTCACCTCCAATTTTTCCCCATCTTCCAAAGGTTAGTGACATCAGTGCATCGGTTAATTTCACTGGAAGCCTTAGAAGTTTAGCAAGTCGTGCTCATCCTATCGACGTCCCAATGAAGATCACACACAACTTCTTGTTCACCATCTCCATCAACACATTGCCATGCCCTAATAATGCATGTTTAGGACTTGGAGGACGTAGGTTTGCTGCAAGTGTAAACAACATAACATTTGATTCTCCAAGGATTTCGATACTGGATGTTTATTATAGAAGAATCACTGGTGTTTATGGAGACGACTTTCCCAGTTTCCCACCATTGTTTTTCAACTTTACCTCCACTAATCTGAGTACATCGTTGCAGACTCCGTTGAATGCTACAGAGGTGAAAGTACTAGATTTCAATGACACAGTAGAGCTGGTGTTTCAAGGAACAAACTTGGTTGCAGGGATCGATCACCCCATGCATTTGCATGGGCATAGTTTTTACGTTGTTGGATGGGGATTTGGTAACTTTAATAGAAGTRAGGATCCTTTGGGGTATAATCTTGTTGATCCTCCTCTCCAACAAACCATTGCAGTTCCGAAAAATGGGTGGACAGCTATTAGATTCAAGGCCGATAACCCTGGTGAGTCTATATTTCTAAAATAATTAGCATGCATGAGCACTAAAATTGTTATGGCTAGTCCAAAATCAGTTTTATATGTCGTCTAAGATATCTAAATGTTCTAAMACGCTGTTTTATATATCTTCTCACCTCATTATAGCACATTTATATATAKGACACATAATTTTTTRATTCTATAAACTTAGGTTCTATAATCGACACTTTCAAAATGAACATGTCAAATGATTAAAACACATCTAGTCTTGCAATTCGTTTAATGAAATCAAGAACCCGATTTACGTTGTGAGTTCACTGGCCTTTCTTTAATTTACAGGAGTTTGGTTAATGCATTGCCATCTTGAACGTCATATAAGTTGGGGAATGGAGGCAGTATTCATCACAAAGAATGGTAGCGGTACAGGGGAATCAATCTTGCCACCACCTCCAGATTTCCCACCATGCACTTAAAAAATCATCCGAATACGAATAATTCTTCTTTCTTCGTATCTGTCTCATGTCAAAATCTGCATGCTGATCACTAGAATCTGCAATATCTTTATCTGGACTGTATGCATAGATCAAAGATATATAGCATATAACCTACAAAATGGCTTTTGCTTCAATGGTATCAAACGAGTTTTATGATATGATTTTCAATTACGGGTTTGAATTTCTCTAAGAATATGAATAARTACAAGAAGATTTGTTGTTTGATATTGTAAAAGTAGGAGCCACTAGTGCTGCTAGCTTCAAATGGAACAAGTACTGTATCCATAATAAAGCACATTCATAGTGTGTTCTCTTTGTTATATATATAATTTATTATTAATTGTTTGTAAGATATTTTTGAGAATTTTGTTGGGGTTTGCAAGTTTAATTATGCATTATTAAGAAGCATGTAAGGAATTTAATTATTATTCAATTATAATGTGTGGATCATTTCTAAGGTATTTCATTATTGTGGTTTGACAAATTTTCTGATTTCTCTTATGGAATATTAGCTCTTAAATGAACAATTAAACATGTTATAGAGATCAAAACCAAAGACATATATAACAAGAAGAAAAAGATCATTTTGGGAAGGATTTATTTTCATATAGTTATTAGTAGATAAGAAATAGAATCCTAAACAACTACAACTAGCTAATAGCAATGATAAAGAGAAATGACCCAAAATGGAGGATAGCAAACCAAGGTTTCAATAATATCTCCTCAAGTTGGAGCATGTGGATTCGAGGTCTGTTCCACAAGGTAAACATCACCTTTTGAAAATCTTTTGGTGCTGAAGGAATATATCAAGTGGATTGGTTTTAAAAAGGTCCAATGCAATTGTTAATAACTATACAACTTCTACATGCTCAAAATATGTGCAAGAATTTCAATGCTTTAAATGACAATTAAAGCAAAGCAATGACAATTAAAGCAAAGCAATCAAGGTAGTCCAAAAAGCCTAAATGAGATTTCTATATGGAAAATTTGGAGTTCCTCAGACAAATTTGCCGACACAGGAAACAAAAGTATTTATAGCGTTGCCTAATTTACTCTATCTACCACCCCTATTGTAATATCACCAAACCCATTAGTTTGTTTATCAGTATTTGCTATTAAACTCAAGGAAAGATCAAGGATTTGGTCACTGTGGGATAGAGTGAAATATCAGTAATCCAAGATAGCTAACAAAGATTACCAATTTGCGAGTTGTAGAATGTACCATGAGAAATGGAATGGTTGCTGAACCAACTAAAATTTTGAGCAGTTATTTRCAACCAAGCTAGCTATCATGAAAGCATTTTTTGGACTTGCTTTTTGCTTGTCATCTGAACTTGCTTTTTGCTTACCAAATGCACTTGCTTAATCAACAAGTATGTGGGGGGAAAAAGGGTTTCTTCAAAACCTAAATGTCCATAAGAAGTAAATAATTATGTATGTAGCTTTAGAATAAGAAATATCTAACCTGACAAAAATTAAGTCAATTCTTATCAAGAGAAACCCATACAACTCATATTGAAGATGGAGAAAGCCATACATAGATATTGAAGATGGAGATCGAACTTGAAATCCAAAAACAGCCATTGGGACAATTGATTAGCGATTCGAAGATAAAGTGAGAGATAAAATCCATAGAGTTATAAGGCGGAGTGTGAGCGGTACCTTGGGAGCTGGAATCGACATCTAAGTATGAATAGTTTCTTGGGAGTTGATGCATTTTTTTAGGAGCGGCGATAGCATCTAGTGTAGGGAGGGGGAACGGAAACTAAATCAACGGGTTGTACTTTGTGCATAAATGCTTGTAATTAAGAGTTCTTTATGAAAAACATGCTTAAAAATGTAGTACTTTGTGCTTCATATGTTGTTTTTAAGACTTTTATGAAATTTGGTTTATAAGGTAGTATAGATGATTTAGAAAAAAAAAATCATAAATTATCAATTTAATTTATTGAGTTCAAACATGATTTTTAAGAAGTTATATGTACAATAATAAGTTGTACATTTGGTAATAGGAAATTAGTAAAATGTTCATAAGTAAAAACACAATAAATAAAAATTACCATTGAAATAAAGCAATATTATTATTTTATCATAGAGAGACATTTATAGCACATATCMATCTTATCTTGTGTATCARATTGACCCTTAAATAATCAAAGATTAAATTACAAGAAACATTTAAGTGGTATTTATCAGCTTGAGACCGCAGCTTCAACCTGCAGTTTGGCACAATGATTTGTTGTTTTTAGAGAACAACTACTTGATGATGTGTTATGCTTTTTTGTACCCTTACCGCTTTACCCCATCTTGAATTTGCTATACCATGTACAACTCTATCCATATAGCTCAGCAAAATCGTCTTCAAATTTCAATATCCTTCTCATCAAAATTTACTCGAGAAACAAAATCCTCTCCCAGTCACAAGTTGATCAATTTAATCTCAGTTTAGTACTCAAACACATCAAGRACGAACTTATACAACTTTATGAATAAAATTCAAATGAACACTCAGTTATGAAGATGAAATACAACAATTAAAAACATACATAGTTCATATCATGAATTATAAACAATCAATAAAATCAAAACATAAATCAACCAGCAATCAAAAAACGTAAACCTGCAAAATTTGAATTTGCAAACAAGAAACATAAACATGCAAAAGGTATATGGGGTCAACTTCTAATTAAAACAACCTGCAAGTAGATAGAAAATATAAAAAAAGGATGTCTTTTGCATAAAAACATGCCTACTCTGTTTGAGTGTTTAGTCCACCATGTAAATATTCCACCCCAACCACTCTGAAAAATGGGCAACTCAATTCTCTCAAACAACTCATTCTAGATGAAGGTAATCTCTGGATCGATTTGATCTCCATCCAAATATATATCCAAACAAGTAAGAATATGTTAYAGCAACAAAACTTTTAATTTTCCTTTCTCTCTATCAAACTAGTAAAGTGAGTTGACAAGATACTCTAACTCAAAGGCTATGAATATGATAGATCAACGCTATATTATCCCTACGGTAGTCGATTGGAAATTAACACAACATAAAAAAAGTTACAATACGATAAGCAAACAAATCTCCAGGTTTTTGAACCCTGTCATCTCAGTTTGTACTTTTTCTTCTCTGCTTATATATAATAAGATCAAAAAAAAAAATGACTCGATTCTCCATCTCCAACTTTTACAAATAGATTTGCACATGCTTTTTGGAGTATAACTGAAGTTCAGAAACCAAATTGTTGGATGAAGACAAAAAGAATGAAATGCATAAAAAGAGCCCCTAATGAACCCAATTCAAATTTAAAACCATAAACAGATCCAATAGCACCATTAATTGAAATTGAAACAGCCATGGGACCAACCATATATACCAAGATTCCAAAACCATTAACTTCCCAATATCCAACGACAAACCAAGTACCGGGTTTTGGAGATTGTAGCATCCTCTGTGTAAGCCCTCTCCATTGAGATTAAACAAAAGGATATTGTATATGATATAAAGATTTGTTGTATATGATAAATGGGTTTTTGAACCCTGTCATCTCAGTTTGTACTTTTTCTTCTCTGCTTGAAATTTGAAGACGATTTTGTTGAGCTATATGGATGGAGTTGTACATGATATATCAAATTCAAGATGGGGTAAAAAGGTAAGGGTACAAAAAAGCATAACACATCATACACAACATTATATATATATATATATATATATATATATATATATATATAATATTGTATATGATATAAAGATTTGTTATCATAAGTTACCCTTTGAAAAAGGTCATAGCACGACTCCTAAGGTTTAAGGCTTTTACCACCCCATGACACACATCACACCATTTTAAATATTGATTATATTTCCTAATATGCATGTCCTATGATTTGGACCTGGTATGATGTTTTGACTTTTCTAAATATTCAATTTTGACTTAAGAGGTAGTTTATCAAACGTTTATTCGGTAAGTGTTTATTGACAAAATTCAATACTATCACTTACTTACCGAGTAAGATGTTAGTCCACTAAAATGATATCATATGCAACAATTTACTCGGTAAGCACTAACCGTACTCGTAAGAGTCGTCACCCTCACTTACCGGGTAAGACTCTCGGTCCGTGCATTCGCTCTTACCGGGTAAGATTCTTGGTTCTCGCCGTATGCATACAGTAAGGTAACGTGACTAATTAGTAAGCGCTTACCCGGGTAATCGTTTGGTAAACGGCCGCTTAATCTTAAATTGCCATCAGCTATCGATTTTAACATTTCTTCCTATTGATGTTACTCAATATTATACAGCTTGTACTTTCTTCTTGTTTTCCTTTTCACGAAAGTATATCGAACCAAAACTGCTTGTGATTGTATGAAACCAAGAATTACTAAGAGCCCTAGAACATGCATGTCTTTTTTAAGTATATAATATTTTATATTTATATACGACAAATAAAACAAATAAACTCATACATCCTCGGCTTGAACTCTTAACCTCCTAAAAGACCAAAGACTCATATACCACTAGGCCAAAATCCGTTTGATAATAACATGCATGTTCATGGCTATCTTCATATGATGTCACGTTATCTTGTTAATTTGTGGTACTATAAATCAGAGAAATGTTTAATTGATTTGGATGTGTTTTTGCATAGACGGGTGGCTTGTATTTAGAGGGCTGACAAGGGTACGGCACGGGTTAAAAGGTTATTTCGGTACCTTATCCATTTAAATTACCGGTAAATAAAACCAGTAATCATCTAAACCTTATAAAATAATGGATAACAAAATGGATAATAAATGAATAAATAAATATCTTTAACTCACGTATCTTTGTTTTGTATGGTGTTATAATACCTAACATGTAAGCCCTATGATTTGGACTCAGTTCGAAGCTTTGATTTTTCTAATTTTCATTTTTTGACGTTTGATTTCGAGAAGCAAAATTATATATGAAACTTCTTATTCTCTGCAACTTTTTTGAAAAACAGTCAAAAAATATATTATTAAAAACTAAAACAAATACAACCAAAAAACAACTACAAGATGTGATAGGCTACAAGAGATCGAATGCAATTAAACAACGATTTCTATCAAATAAGATAAAACCCTCTCCAAGGCACATCTATAACTTTGGTCCTCCATATTTTTATTGGTTTGATCCGACCCCGAATACATTCTTTTATCCATACTCACGTTTCGATACAATTAGCTTTTCGGTTTTTTGAAGTTCTTTCAAATTATTGTATCTAGTACAATTGTTAAACACATATGTATAATGAGTAAATTGACGTAATGTGTAGCACATTATAAAGTACATTATGACTTAATTAAGACCCAACAAAATACATTAACCTCTTTATGCAGTAAAGGAATAACGAAAGCAATGCGCAACTTTGTGATTGGACTTGATCAATGTTCTACAATATGTATGGATCATCAAGACCCTCATTACCGATATCAGGTAAATGAACGAAGAGGATATTATGAAATATGTATGAATAAAAARAATTCGTAAACAATCCTAACAATTTAATGTTCCTGTTATATACTTTGAGGCATGATTAATTGCACAAATGATGTGGTTATTCTCATCTTGTTTAGCGATCAGTTTAGCCAGCTTTCTAAAACAAATTTCACACAAATACATGATATGATTTCTTTAAGGATATATAATTTTAGCAATTGAAAGAAAAATTACATAAAATAATTACGAAAAAGAATAAATTAAAAAAAACAAATGAAGAAAAACCATTCCAGCCAAAGTTGCAAGACTTGAAAGTAACAGCAGTATAATATTGAGTGAAAATTTAGAAATGTCAACATAGATACGATGCTAATTTAAACAAGCCAAAAGTGAAAATTTAGAAATGTCAAAACATGGTACGGGGTCCAAATCATAGGGCATGCATGGTAGGTATCTTAACCAATATTCTACATGAGGTGGTATCTAGCTTATGGTGACACCATTTCATTTTGTAACATGTGATTTATGACATCAAATCTCTATATCACACACACATATGATTTTACATGTGCTTATGGCGACGTGGCTCGCGACCTCAGGTCGTGGCAAAAGTCGCGTGAATCACATGTGATTTTACATGTGGTTTTAATGTCAAATCACATATGATTCGACCGTTTTTTATTTTTTTATTTAATTGTTGTTCTCGTTTGAAACCGACTATATATATATATACATATAATATTACATAAACATAGTTTTTGTTATTACTCAATAAGTCAATGATATTAAAAAATTATCAAATTAAACCAACCAAAAAACCGAAAAAGACAATTGAAATCAACAAAAAAAAACTACAAAATATCCATTAAAATCAATCAAAAACTAAAAAAAAAAAAAACAGGTTATGCAGATTTTTATATTTCTCAAACATATATATAAGTTAGGTACAAAATTGGAAAAATAGACAAATTAAGAAATGGATAAAAACCGTTGGAGGGGAATATTGTTGATAGATATGATGCAATGGATAAAGTAACAACACTAATAACATTGAGTCAAAAAGTGAAAACAAGAAAACTCAAAGCATTCGATTGGGTCCAAATCATACCCATTCATGCATGTGATTAATAACACCATAAACCAAACGAGTTGACAAAACTTGAAACGCTACTTCAAGGTTGATTTCGATGACCAGCCGCTTTATTTACCTACTATAAATACATGCCACCACATCCATGCAAGAACACATCATCCWAATCCATTAAAACAAGCAAATTCATCGACCATTTCTCACACAGTAACAAGATATCGATCATCTGAAGACAACCATGAGCATGCATGTTCTCGTTCTAGGGCTCCTACTGATTCTTGGTTTCATACAATCACAAGCAGCTTTGGTTCAATATACTTTCGTGGTAAGCTTTCGGTTCCATATATGACTCTTTTCACATGTTTTCTAGCTAGTTTGTGAGGTTGGCAAGTGACTTGATATTAACATACCTTTTTCTGTTTGCAGGTTCAAGAAAACAACTACACAAGGCTATGCAGCAGCAAGAACATTTTGACAGTTAACGGACAATATCCTGGTCCGACTATTTCTGCTCGTAGAGGCGACACGGTCATCGTCGATGTTATCAACCAAGACACCCAGAATATAACTATTCATTGGTGTGTATACATTTATGTGTTAATTTCCTTCTGTGTATATATATACACTGAAATGTTCTTTTAACTAACATCATAAGTGGTACAGGCATGGAGTGAAACAACCTAGATATCCATGGTCTGATGGGCCAGAGTTTATCACGCAATGCCCAATTAAACCTGGTACCCGTTTTAGCCAGAAGATTATTCTTTCTGACGAGGAAGGCACGTTATGGTGGCATGCACACAGCGATTGGTCTCGAGCCACCGTACATGGTTTACTAGTCGTCTCTCCCAAAATCGGGACTACTTTTCCGTTTCCTAAACCTCATGCAGAGGTTCCCGTCATCTTAGGTACGTGTTTAATCATCTTTATACCCTTTGATAACACGGGTTCCTATTTCTCAACGATATTCCACGACGAAATCGAGCACAATTCTTATATAATCCTGGTGAAAATTAAATATATTTTCTAATTCAAATAACTTTTAAGACATAGAGAATTAATGATCGAGAATAATGCAGGTGACTGGTGGAAAAATGATATACAGACAGTGATGGAAGACTTTCTGCGTACAGGAGGAGATCCAGCTCCCTCTGATGCTCTAACAATCAACGGTCAACCGGGCGATCAATACAATTGCTCTCGTCCAGGTTGGTTGATTAAGGCGAATTGTGTGATTAATAAACCAAATACTAATATGTAGATATGCATCCAGATCAACTAACTAATTATGGATTTGTAATGCTTAATGTCTTCAGGAACAACCATTGTAAATGTGGATCAAGGAAAGACTTACTTGCTTCGAATGGTAAATGCTGCCATGAACAACATCATGTTCTTCGCAATCGATAACCATCAAGTCACCGTCGTAGGAACTGATGGGGCATACACCAAGCCACTAAAATCAAATTATGTGACTATATCACCTGGACAAACACTAGACCTCTTGTTAGAAGCAAACCAACCCCACAATCGCTATTATATGGCTGCAAAGTTCTATAACAGCAACCCTCGTAGTCTTTTTGACCGCASCACCACCACAGCCTTCATCAAGTACAATGGGAACTACACTCCATCTCCATCACCTGCCTTACCTATTCTTCCTGCTTTTAATGACCGAAATGCATCTGCYGGTTTCACTAGTAGCCTAAGAAGTTTAGCAAGTCRTGATCATCCCATTGATGTTCCAYTGAAAATCACGAGGAAGTTACTCTATACACTTTCGATTAACACATTGCCKTGTGCGAGTGGCACCACATGTGCGGGACCACAGGGTACGAGGTTTCGGGCAAGCATAAACAACATTACATTCGATACTCCAAGGACTTCGATTCTTGGAGCTTATTACCGTGGAATGAATGGTGTTTACGGGGACGACTTTCCTGATAATCCCCCTTTCATCTTCAATTACACTRCAGATAGTTTGAATACGTCGCTACAAACTCCCATGAATGGAACTGAGGTGAAAATCCTCAAGTATAACGATAAGGTGGAGCTTGTTTTCCAAGGAACAAATGTGGTTTCAGGAATAGATCATCCCATGCATTTGCACGGACATAGTTTCTACGTTGTTGGATCTGGATTCGGTAACTTTGATCGACAACGAGATCCTTTAAATTATAATCTWGTCGACCCTCCTCTTCAACAAACCATTGCAGTTCCTCAGAATGGTTGGACAGCCATCAGATTCAGAGCAAATAACCCTGGTACGTCAATTTCCTCCTTTCAGAATGTGTTTTATGTTGCACATCAGTTTATATATTCAGTGTATTAATTAAATATGCAGGAGTATGGTTCATGCATTGTCATTTTGAACGTCATGTTAGTTGGGGGATGGAGATGGTATTCATCGTAAGGAATGGAAAGAGTGGCGATGCAAGAATGTTGCCTCCACCACCAGACATGCCCAAGTGTTAGAAGATTTATTCATTTATTTCTGAAGATTATTTATTTCCTTCTATATATTAATTTTAATTGGCAATGTTCGTCTTTTAAACCTGTCGTCTCAAAGATGTGTATACATTTTTAATTCGTTGATTGATTATGAATGTATAACACTTGAATAAACATGAATAAACAAAGGTATAAATTTTGTTCATATATTTCACAAATATCGTGTTAAGCGACTTTTATATGTTATTTTTTTCCCTTTTTCGGGTCTAGTGTTGTAAAGAATGAGAATGAATTGACGTCTTAAGCAATGGGTTGCGTATATGATAACGATTTTGGTAGCTATGTTGACATGGACTATCATATGATAGCAATTTGATAGTGATTTCATAGGACTCTTTTATTTCTAGATGTCATCAAATTTAGGTGATTGTTTTGGTAAAAATACCCTCTAGGTTTTATATGAAGTGCGTTTTTCTTTATTAATTGAAGTGGTTATGGTATCAAAACAAAATTGTATCTATCTTGTTGATGTTCATCTTCTAAAACAAGAAAAAAAATCATCTTCCTCAATAGAAACAAAATTAAACAATACTAATTAAAAAATACCATGAAAAATATACAAACATCAAGAACAAACATTAACTAACTAAAAACCAAAATTAGATTGAAGTGAAAAAAATATATGAGCAAATGAATGATGGAATTGTTAACACTTCAATGATGAAGAGGCAAATGAATGTGTTTATTATCAAAGAAAATTATCCTCTAGATTTACATATATACACAAATCTAAACCCGGAGTTGATTGTAAACCCAGTTGGCGAGAAATGGTTAAAACAGTGGATGGATGTGATATGTATTGCGGCCTGTTGGGTGATTTAAAGAAGTCAAAACGATAAAATTTTCAACGGCAAGATTCAGGCATCGCAGGAAGTTGTTAACGAGGTCCAATTCTACTCTTTTCCGTGTGTTAATAATAGAGTCAAGGTGGGGAAAGATATTAGCTGGGAAATTTGGTGTTGTAATCCTCGTTTATGCTTTTTGCACGTTATGTAATCTACCGTCTTGCTAGGTTTTTGTTTAATAAATTCCATTTCTTGCTGTTCAAAAAAAGAAAAAACACAAATCTAATTTTATCTAAAGGAATAATTTCATGTTTTAATTAAAAACAGTGCACCACGTCATCAACTCCTTTCAACCGATCTAGTGGTCAGATCCGGGACATTACTACCACGACGACTATCGACCGGAGCCCAAAGAAGGGAAAAAATGAACGGATCCCTTCTCTCCAGTGAGTGCAGTGAAGGACTCTCGCCGGGCCCTGTACACACCGCCCGTCACACCTTGGGAATAGGTTTTTGATCATGTGCAATGTTGAATCTTGCTGTTCCTTTATCCCGTGCTCCTTAACTACTCGAAAGACTGAGCTTGGGATATTGAGATGCTTAGAGCCAGTGATGAAAGGGTTATTTTGCTTCCAATGTCCAACTTGTACAGCTTCCAATTTATCTGTTGAGCGTTTTGCAACCTATGACCTTGTTCCTTTCTACTTGACTAAGTAATATCCCACTCGTGCAGTGGGTGTAGGGGCTACAGATCATGGTTCACGCTTTATGGCATTGAACAAGAAATGAATGAAAAGTTGGAAGATCCTGCCCAAGGGGGAGAGAGGACTATTGAATTCCTCCTCCCTTCAGTCCAGGTTGAACCCGTCCTCACTCTTGTTCAACGGTAATGGACTGAAAGACTTAGGAGACATCAAATAACTACCACTTATACAATAAATTATCAAAAGAACATAWGCATTACGATTTATTTATCAAAATGTTCAAAAATCCCAAATATGAGAATTTCACAAGATTTATAACCTAAATATACCAAAGATGCAAATCTCATCAAATGATCAACACATTTTGTAAATATCAAGAAAACATCTTAAGACTCCAAAATATACATTTTTGGTATTTACAAAGTTTTCATAAACCAACTTGAACACACCTTGTTAGGTTAGGTTAAGCCTTGATTCCAAAACCAAATCTTTAACTTCCATAGATGGAAACTTGAGATCCATATGCTAGACTTTCAGATATATGGCTTAAAGCTTTCAAAAACACTCTATTGAACTCTTGAGATATAGAAAAACACCACAAAGATGATAAAAAGGTTGAGGATGCAAAATACCGAACCCTAGGTCAAGAAATAAAACTTTATATCTTACCTTTCAACTTCAGGAACCAGAAATCATTAACAAAAATTTAATCCTCTTTGTTTCTTTATAAAGAGCTTCAAAAGACTAAACCGTAGTCTCTGGAATCACCCTAATCGGATAAGAGATGAGAAACTTATGACAAAATGAAGAAAACCCTGAAAATCACCCTTGGGGGTCTCAAGAGACATGTAAAGCGACTTAAGTCGCTTGGAAAGTTGTCCGAGCCCAAAATTTTTCCTGCCATAGTCCTAAACGAATTAAGTCACTTGGTAACCATCTTGACACTTTAACTTGTGTCTTTAAGTTGTTTTGTGATTTCTCGTGCGACCAAACTTGCATGGGAGGTCTCTTAATACCCGAGATGACTTTCAACACAAATTTTATTCATCCCAAATCAACTAAGACCSTTGATTCAAATTCYACAAACATTCAMCAATATATGGACACCAAATGGCTTGCTAAATCAAATCTACACCTTGAAACGATTAACCACAAAAATACGGGTATTATAGTCCCCAAATAGCTAAATCAGCCTTATATATCTAACTAGCACTCATATCTTCACGGTGTAGCTAAATACATGACCTTTTCACGATAGTGGAGCCATTCAGTAGATTCTTGAATGAAATGCATGTATAGCTGATGTGAGACTCCATAGCTAGTACAAGTTCAGAATATTTAAAAACTTGGATCTTATGCTGACCTTGATGTGGGGGACTAGACCCTATTGTTCATAGAGGCTCATGATGTAACAAACAGTGTTACGTTTAAATGCGCATAACTTTTCCTATGGGGCTCCCTTTCAGACCCATACCCAATCGATTCAAAGCTTAAAAYGAGGAKMAYATCYTGGATATGACCCGAAGGGGATTATGAGATCTTCGAGACTGAAAAATGCTTTTTGAACATGTTTCTAGACACTTTCATGCTATGTTTTTTTTTTATCATTTTTCATTTGGACTTTTATGTTTGTCCCATCGTATTTTCAGGCCCATTTGAGTTTGAAACTCTTATCTATGTGTTTCTTGTGTAAGTTGGATTATTAGACCTTGAATACATAAACTTCCAATTTTCATCCCAAATCTGAGTTCCTTTAAGTTCAATTTGGAAGAGATTGTTCTCAGGTATTCATAGAACCAACTGGATCATCCTTCCTTCATTATCGTACTGTACGTTGCATCAAGTCCCCTCAAGGTCATTGGAGGGTTAATTTGACTGTCTATTAACTTTTGACTAGTCGAAGTGCACACAAACCAATCCAGATAGCCACAGTTTCCAAGAAAACACCAATTATATAACAAACTGCAAGATGATCCGAGACGAAAAAAGCTTTTGGTTTTACTCCAAAGATTGTTAGAGAACATCTTTTTAACTCGAATTACATGTCTTATTCTTCATTAGCATCCAATTCTCTAATCTGGCTTCAATTGTAGCCGAATGCATCTTCTTCGCCATCTAATCATTCATTTACAAGTGGCAAATGCGATTATAATGCTTACCTTGTGATAACAATAGACTGTAACCATGTTGATCAATGCATCCTTGTACTCTTCATTTCAGCTTTTTGAGTATGATATAGATGTTTGTTAAAACAACCCGTTCTTCTGTATGCAGAGAAAATAGTAAAGAATGTATGATACTAATAAAATAGTACTTTTGAACTTAGTTAGTCTGATATGCTGATCATGTTCCCATACCAGGACAAGAGCTGGTAAAGTTGGTGAACCAAATTTGTTGGTTAATTTGCACTCAAAAATTGACTTGCCAAAAATAATACTTGTTGAACTATTTGTGATTTTATCTCGTACTGGTCTTCAATTTGGTAGATGACATTTCAATATGCTTTGGTGACTATCTGAGTTTTACTTCAACTAGTCTTCGATTTTGTTGAAGACATCATAATCTACATTTCAGGTTCCAACAAGATTATGAATCATTCAGATCCCAAAAGGACTTTTAGGATCAGAATTATGATTCAGATCCAGTTAGGATCCAAATCCTCATTGCTTTCAGATTTTGAACTTCTTTCAGATTCCACCAARGATAAATCCGACAAACATATACGGACTTRTATCTTTTCCAGATTTTGGATCATTTTGTATCCGATAAAAACTGATTGGATTTKAAGGCATAACTTCAAAAATATTTTTAAATATCGAATCAGATGTAATCATTTTATTTCAATTTATATGGTTCAAATGTTTTTCTATATATAGTTCTCTTGTACAAATCTAATCATATTTGTTATTTTGTTTACAGTTGGATAAACATACTCACTATTTGCCATTTGTTTTTTCTATTAAGTATGCAAATGGAAATAATTGAAAATATAGTATATATGGGATGATATTATTTTGTAGAGGCTTAATTATTTGAAAATCTTATATATTGTTAAAACTGGGAGAACTGTTATTGTAAGGTATTGTTTTACATGTTTTTTTCCATCTAATGCAAGAATTTAATATATTGATTAACATATATTTGTTTATGTGGTTGGTAATTAATTAGACATAAGGAGAGCGCGAAAATGTTACCTTGTGGAGATCTCCTTTTTGTTGTTTCGTGATATTGTAATTCTTTGTTAGTCTCTGGCTAGTCCTTTAATGCATTGCCGTTTCCAAAACAGAACATATATCTGTTTCACGATGTATTTGTTTCAAATGTATTCGGTTTATAATGTGAAATCTTTTATAAGTTGTATTTTTTACTTCGCAAACATATAAAAAATATTTCACTTTGTAAAACATATATATATATATATATGAAACAAATACATTGTGAAACAAATATATGTTAACCAAAACAATTAATTCAAGCCGTAGATGAAAAAAAATCATATAAAATTTCACATGATGTACTGATTTTCAAAATTATTAGCACTTTATAGGTTCTCAGATGAAGGTACCCTAGTTAATATATGTTTTATAGGATAATATATATAACAATTATATTTGATTTTGGTCTGAAAACTCAATAAAAATGCAACAATTTACAAAAAAAAAAAAAATTACACTTGAAAGATTAAGTGAAACGTTCAAATAAATCCAACGAACAATTGTATTTATGTGATTAAGTCTCTAAATTTTTTCTAAACAAATAAATCCTTCAACTTTTGGAAACCGATCGAACAAATACATCTTTGAACTTACTAAAAACGAGAAAAATCTAACTAACTTTCATGTTTTAAATGATTAAGTCATTGAACATTTTTTGAATAAATAAATCCTTACGTTTATAAAACGAAAGATACACACCATTTTTAATTATTAACCATTATTTATTCTTTAGATTTAATTGACAATCACATACGTTTATTATGATCATGTGATTATTATTTTAATTTGAAAAATAAAACATTATTAATTTCTCTTATGTTTCTCATTTGAATGTGAAAAATAATAATATTTAATCATTTTTTATTGATTCATTATACTTTTTTACTGATCTAAATACATCAATTAAGAAATAATATATTACTTAATACCTCATTTGCCCTTATCATTGAATCGATGTAGCAATTGAGAAAATTTGTTTCAACTGATTTTAAAAGATTGTTAACCACAAGGGTGGTACCTGTTTGGTTTGATCTTGACTACGAAGATCAAAAGTATCAGGAGGTTCCATGTTCAAATCCAAGAAGATATAAAAATCCCCTTGTGATCACGGATGTTCAAATGCAGTGACTCCGGTACGGGCTATATGCAAAGCATGTGGTCGTTCTGGGATTAGTCGGCTCGCATACCGGGTTGAATATCCAAGTTAATAATTTTTTTTATTATTATTAATATCTTATATTTATTAAATATCTTGTGGCCCATCTCAAAAAATTATATCTTGTATTGTTGAAAAAAGTCTCATAAAAACTTTCATTCATAAGGGAAGTAAAACCGTATATATTTGTATTWTATGTAAATAGTAGTTTGTGACTAAAAGTTCAATAGAATTTRGAAGGGTTATCGCTACTAGACAAATGAGCTTTACCGACGAAGAATTCTACTGTAACATTTTATCGGATTTGTGACAGATCTAAAAAATCAACTTTTCATTGACATTTGTCACAAATTGAACACTTAATTTGAAAATAATTAAATATCCGTCACCAATTAATTGTTGACAGATTAGGGGGTGAAAATCCGTTGGTGAATTTGGTTTTTCCTTGACATTTGTAATAAAAATAGAAACAACCTGCGGTGAATATATTAAATCACCGACGAATTACACGCAGATTATCTACCGGAAATTTAATCAATTTGTTAATTAAATAAATTATCGACGATTGTCCGCCGGTGATTTAGTAAATTTAATTTCTTAGCCAACTGGTTTTCGAATAATCATGAAAATTATTACCAGCCATCATTATCCGCCAATCTATAGGTGATCCTTTTTTGGGTGAGGATTTCTCCGGCCGTGAAATCACCACCAAAAATCCGCCGATGATCATTTTTTTGGGCAGTCCTGTTAGGCGATGAAAGTAATGTAGCATATGAAATATATTTGTGAATCCATGATACTGCTAGATGAGATTAGATAAATTTATAAAAGCGTAAAATATAAAGTTTAAAAGATTTGGAAAAGTCATTTCTTATAAAAAAAACCCCATTTCAGGACACGCCCAAGTCAACATGATGTGGATCACACTTGGCATAAAATGCGATAGAATTTATTGTAAAGACGAATATGTGTCTTACGTCATAATGTACCTTTTAAAACCCTGATTACCTTGTACAATTCAGTGGTGAAACGTATAGTCCTAAAATAAGAAGTAATAAATTTGCATCATGTTTGATGGGCGTTTGAGATAAGAACTTACATAAATGCTTGTCTTTCATTTGTATGAAGTGTACACATACGTGTTAATGAGTTAGGGTGTAACTTTACCTAATCCCTCCTCAAGTTTAGTCACCATCAACATTTTTGGCTTTCATTTTCCCATTAGTAGACCATATAATGTGGCTAGAAATGGCCTCCGCTAGGTCGAAAACATACACACACATATAGTTTGTAACAGAGAAGTTCAAAAACTACAAGACATATAGTCATTTCCTCACTTTCTGTACCAGGTTTTGATCGAGCTTCGACGATTTGTTTTGCAATAACCAATACTTGAGGAAAAATATAGAACTTTCATGAGCTTTTCTGAACTAGTCATAGTCCAAAGGTTCGAATTCTCAAAACTCATTTATGCATCTCTCTTGTCCACACTTGAGAGCATCAATTATTGTCCGTTGAATATGTGGAAAATGATGGGAAGAATAAACGAAAACATCGATTTACTGAATGGGGTTTTGTATAATGGTATCAATTTATTTTTCTGTTGTCTCGGTTTAGATAAAAATAGTAATGGATCGTTTACTAAACGCTTATTTGACAAGTCTTTACCGGATAAATTTCCTCATCGGATGAACATGACAAAGGTCAAAAATCTTACCGGGTAAGAGAGATGAAAAGGATAGAGAGTCTTACCCAGATAATTAAGCGTTTACCGAGTAAATTATTGCATTGGGTACGTTTTGATGTACTGAAATCTTACGCATCAAAATAAATTATAGTGTTAACTTCTATAGGTAAGCACTTACCAAGTAAACATTTGAGTAAACAATCCCTTTAAATGGTTTTAAAAATATGATTCACTACTTGTTTTAACGTTTAGTGAGGATGTGCACCTACCAGCATAACCATACGTCTTCCCATGGTCCCTCTCACACCAACTATAAATACAACCATCACATAACATACTCTCTAACATGAATCCAAGAAACAACAACTAAGATCACACCTTACAGATTTGAAACT